CGCTACAAATCAGCGAGTCATTGCTTGCATTGTTGTTTTTTCGGTGCTTACCCACAGTTGTTCCGCAGCAACTACTTATATACATATAAAAATTTCGTGTACCATAGGATTTTAAATAACAGTTCATATTTAACAAAAAAACATTTACGGAGTTTGCAAGGTGTCGTATTGTCGTATGTCGTAAAGTTTTTAACGGCTAAATAAATGTTTAGAGGACTTGAAACCACAACAAACTATTTTTCAACGGTGTGAGATTTCATATCACGACTTCTATTGTAGCTGCCGAATTCCTTAAATATAGTTGTAGCCGTTAAAAGTTTACGACATACAATAATACGACAGTATACAACACCTTATGAACTCCGTAATTATATATATATATTTTATTTTTTTTTTGTTGTTGATGCTTTCTGATGAACGAATTTCTAGTATACCGCCGAAGCCGGGTTGCTTCCAAACCGAAATTGAAAAGGGGTGACGGAAACTTGTCCCAGAAAACGTTATAATTTATTTATATACATATACGCTATATTACACTAAAGTTAAAAGATAGCATCATTTAGACTTGTTTTTTCTCACCAAAAAAAGTTATTGTTTTTTCACTGGATCTATAAAATTTATTATATTCTAAGACCACAGCCAAAATATGGGATGATTCCACCGTCACCCGCATTCCATTCGAAGTATAATTTTTAGATTAAAAGTCTAATTACGTCAACGAAAAATAGTTTACTTATCCCAGGCATACATAGCTCATCGGGTAGGATGTGTCTCTCGCTCTCGCCCTACTAGCGCTACCTTAACAAAAAAGTTGAAGTTCACATGCCAAATATGTGGAAGAATGAAGGAAAACAAAAAAAAAAGGAACGAAAGTACGAAAAGAAAGAAAGGCGGAGTCTATCCACCCTCTACAGCGTTCAACCGACGCGAAGCCATGGGCGTTGTGTTGACTCCTCTCACCTTACAGTGCCCCCTTAACCTGAACATATCCGTCTGTCAGTCATACAGTCATCCTAAGCCGATCTGTCTATTGTCCGTCGTTACCTTCAAGTCCCCTCTTGCGCGCAAGCGCAACCCATACACCAAAAATAATGAAAGTTAATGCCTCGTTTCAATTGCATCCATGACATCAAGCATAATTCATATTGTTTTATTAATTACTAATTTGACAATTCAAGCAAACAAAAAATTAAACTTAATTATTAAATCCTAATCTATCCGGGTTTAACTCAAATTCCCTTGATTATTAGATTCTTCTCAAACATAAAGTATGTAAACATAACTAAGTTGTATGCATGCTTATATATGTAAATTTGTATGTAAGCGACAAATGTACAAACATACATATTAAACTGCTGCAGGAATGCATTTGTTTGCAGCTTCAAAACATTCTCT